ATCTACAACTCTGATTCTGTTTACAGCGTCTAACGTGTTTTGTAGTATCTATATTTATATCTCTTTCGCTCCGTGACAGTCATTCCCGGTTTGAAACCTCCCATTTTTTTCTTTCATCTCCATGCGAACAAATCTATATATATAAAAATGAAACCCGTTTTCCGTTGTCACGACATAACATGAAAACGGCTTGACCGATTTGGCTGATTTTTTTTTTGTAGTTTTCTTATACTCTGTACAAGGTTCTTACGGAAAAAAATATAAAGAAAATCTCTCAGAAAGATTGAAAAATATAACGTAACGAATGTCAACGTCATTCAATTTAAAACAAAAAATCTGTGGTAATCTGTGACACCACATCGATAACCGCGCTGACAAATGTCAACGCCATTCAATTTAAAACAAAAAAAAACCTGTGGTAATCTGTGACAGGAACAAACACTTATTAGCAAACAAAAAACTTCTTAGTCTTTAAAACAAAACGAACTTTATCAAAAACTTGATAAAATTATTGTTAGCGCGGTTATGGACTAGCTGACCCGGCGAACTTCGTACCGTATAGTTTATCAAAAAGCATTAGAATAGAGAAAAGCAGTGAAGGGTATAGAGGCTTTTAGTTGCTTTCTAGAGCGCGCGTGGTGTTGAGCTTAGTGTTTACTTCAAAATGCAAAGTTGTTCAATAGCGATTTGTAAAAATATGAGTGAAATTGAACCCTATGGAATAAAACACTATTATGAAAATATATATGTTGTTTTTTATTTAATAAAAAGTCCTCAGGTATGGCGAGACCAGGGAAATAAGGATTCATTTTTATATGGAGGATATTATAGATTCCAGTTCAAATTGAATAGGTACTCATACATAAGATAGGTCAGCTATACAAAATAAAGTAGTGCATCAAAGCTACGCTAAGGCGGTACGAAATTCGCCGGGTCAGCTAGTATAATATAAACACACATAAAATTAGTGAGTGTGTATTTGTATCCCCTAGCAGGTATCTTTAGGTAGTAAAATGAGACCTCCGTGGCCGACTGGTTTGTACGCCGGGTTTCATGTTGTCGCCGATCGAGAGGTCCCGGGTTCGAATCCCGGTGGAAGCAGATGTTTGTGTGATGAATACAAGCATTTGCATTCCAGTCACGGATGTTTAATATGTATTTCTATATAAATATGATTATATATGTACAATATATGTATTCTATACGTTACCCTAGTATCCCCATAAAAAAGCCTTACAATGCTTACTTTGGGGCTAGGCTACTTGGTGAGAGCTCCTATTTGATATTGCAGCAATTAATGAATGGCAGAAATTGTTTTAAATGATTATTTTACTTAGTACTCTAATATTATCAACGTCTATCAGACAATGAAATTATACAAAAAATACTGTCGCCCACTCCCTAGCTATAATGTTTGTATGATAATAACACGCTTGTTATGGTTGTTTATACATATATATTTCAACATAAAACATACTTTTCTGTGTATCATCTTGATTATGTGTTTCTATCAGTTAACAAGATTGTGAGTGTGTATGTTTGTTACTTCTTCACGTCTAAACGGCTAGAGCGATTTAAAAAAAATGTTATGTAATTAGCTGACACCCTGGATTAACACATAGACTACTCAAACTCAATCTTAAACTCATTTATTCAGTCTAGGCTGTCACAAGCTCTTGTGAAAGTCAAACGCTTCGCCATCGGTTCGTAAATCTACAGCGGGAGACCTTGTACTGGTACCGGCAAGGAACTCAGCAAGGGCTATTTTTTTCTCCCTGTTTTGTTTCATACAGTGTCGTCAATTGAATGATGACATCAAAAATTGAAAACATGTGTTGATGTCAACTTCCATCACATTAATATTATTAATTAACAAAAGTTAATTATAGTAGTAGCTAGGTACTATTTTTAAATTTAGAGGTGTCGATTAAACAATTTTCAACCAAATTAGCAAAGTAATTTGGTTGAAAATTGTTTAATCGACATTTTTTTTACACACTTTAAACTTATTAAAAGGCTACCTTTTACTGCGGGAAAATATCCCTAATAAACCGCGGGCAACAACGCGGGGCACAGCTAGTATACCATAACAAGCCTTATAGTGTTTGCTTTGGAGCTCGGGTAATTGGTCCGAGTGTAAGATATATTTTATCATCATCAAGCCATTAATATCCTCAGTGTTCGCTCAATATATAGAGAAAAATAATGGTCCTCTCTGTGTTAGTAATAGTGACTAGTGTATATTCCAGATGTATTGTTGAAGCCAGGTTCTGCATAACTTAAGAAAGTAAGAGATAATAAAAATTAAATGTTATTTTATTCAAGAATTGGAGTGCTCGATTTTTAGCCGATTTCGAAAAGGAGGAGGATATAATTTTTATTTTTTTTAAAGCATGTTACTGCTTGATGTTTGAATCTAAAGAAAATATGACTAGAAAAAATTCCAAGCGGACCAGGCAGCAGACGGGACTCGAACCCGCACCCTTCGCAATCCGGTCGAATGCACTGACCAATTATGCTACCGCGGCCCTCATGGACCGCGTCGAAATTCCGCTAGCCATTCTTAAGCTGCAAGGCAGCGCCATCTCTTCGCATTATAGGTACCCCCACAATGTCAAATGTATACTTTTACAAGTATTAAACATTTGAAAGAAGAAATAGCAATTATAGTTATAATTTTTATTTTTTTAAAGCATGTTACTGCTTGATGTTTAAATCTAACGAAAATATGACTAGAAAAAATTTGAAAGGAGGAGGATCTCAATTCTTCAGTTTTTTTCTTGCTTGCTGCTAAAAATAAAAGCAGGCTATATAAAAACAAAACCACTAAAAAGTAGAAATAAAGCTAATCTTTATTATAAAGAAAGATGTCAGTTTTTATCTTTGTTAAATAAGTTTTATATATAAGGAACGAAGTTCTCGAACGAGCTTACAACTAGCTGACCCAGCGAACTTCGTTCCGCCATAAAACTAGGGGCAGGTGATAGAAGAGAAAATTTAGGGTTATATGTATTTTTAATACCACATTATAAAAAAATAAATATTGTCCAAAAAACAATTTAGGGGTGTGTAACGTAGTGTTCTATGAATTTCCTGGGATAACATTCCTCCTAACCCATATGAGAACACTATGTTACAATACCCAATAGTTTGAATTTTAGTGCGAAGGCGCATTGTAGGTTTCAGAACACTACGTTACAGGTGGACAACCATTATCACCTAAGGATATGAAAAATAGATAGTAGCCGATTCTCGGACCCACGGAATATGCATATAAAATTTCATAAAAATCGGTCAGGCCGTTTCGGAGGAGTATAGTAACTAACATTGTGACACGAGAATTTTATATATAAGATAATAAGTACTTTTAGAATAAATCCTACTCCATCCAGTTATCAGGCCGGTTCGAACCAATCCCCTTCGCTATTCGGTATCAATAGAGATTCGTAGCGAGAATTCGGGCTGAATGGAATTTATTCAAGTAAAAAAATTCTTCAGGCAATAAATCGTACTTAGTTGCGAATCTGCACACATGGATTGGAATTTCGAAATACATTAAACCAAGCCTCTACAAGAAGTTTAGTTTTGTAATAGTACTATTTACCCGTACTTTTCTCACTGTTGGTCTTCTAAGTATTTTTTTTTGTGAATTCCTCGCTGGATATTTATCTGTAGGAACACATTTTTCGCGGCACTCGCATTTCTCAATTATTTTTAAAAGATTTGGGCTTACGCTGAATATAATTAATGACTTAATAAATAAGCTTTTAGAGCCTTCTTAATTGCGGACATTTATAACACTAATTTATTCCCTAGTTAAGTTGAGACGTACTTAGGTATACTTAGAAAAATGTTTCGCTAAAGTATAAATAGTTAAGAGCTCGCCTGTTCTGTTTTTTCCATACAAACGTTTTCGAATAATGCCTCCTTGATTTTTTATTGCTAAAAGATTGTTTTTATACATAAAATTGAATTTTGGTCATCCTATACTCCCGTCTTCCTTTCTTCGATATTTTGTGTGTTCAAAGAAACTAGATGCCCTCAAAAATTCCGAAAATAAACAGAATTTTATCACCACTACAGACGTCTAGTGTCAGATTCAATAAGGATTTACAAAAAAAGAAAATAGAGGCCTGGGTTCTATTTCTTTTACAAATATCTAATTTTCGAGGATGAAATCGTCGAGAGCAATCCTCGAATTTTGCAATTTTCAACGTTAGCTACCGTTGTCCCTATCACACTATATTTGCCAATGCTCTACAGTAATAGTCTTTCAAATACCTATTTCTTAAATGTTTCGCAGCTCGCGTCCGCTCTTAGTGAATTTCTTTCTTGTGCTGCGTGCTTCAATGTTATATTCTATTTTTGACAAGCGGTACGTCCACTTATCAAAAATTACTAAATACTGAATACACACATGGATTATAACTACACATGGAGTGTTCTGAGAAATTATTCTCCCTTATCCCTCAATCCCTTTTTGCTTAGTTGTCATCGATTTACTTTGGCCACTATTCCTACATGAACAAAGATAATTAATGACTCATATATGTCGTACTATTCGAACGTGGAATTTTTTGGCTGCGCACGTGTTCCCCCCTTCCTTCAATCTGGGGTCTTTTAAGAGAGGCGTGAAGAAGCATTTATGCAGGCCGGCAAGATGAGGATGGTTGGTGTGGCAGTATATAACTGCCGTACCAGCTATCTTCGCAACTGGACCTTATCACCACTGAACAACAGGTGGGGTAGAGTCATTTGTCTACCTAGCTATAAAAAATGTGTGTATTCAGTTAAAGTATGTTCCTATATTTTACCTAAAGTTCCTAACCTTAATAGCCAATTCACCAATTCGTTACTGCTACATTCTTGCTTTCGGTTTTAGAATCCTGAGTAGTGAATTATTCCAAACATTTAATACTTAATAATGGCCAATAAATACACATACCTAATTAGATATTTAGACTTTTAATACACTATTTTTATTTATGAAACAATAATTGTTAATTTTGCAGCAAGAATGTGGCGAAGAAATATGGGAGACGATACTTCGGGAATCAGGAGCAAGAAACACAGTATTCAGCGCTACCCAGGTAAATTCAGGCCACGTCTGAAATTATGACAAGGTATTTAATATTAAGATAACCTAAATTGATCAAATTATTCAAGATAATCATAGGCAATTTATAGCTGCCATTCTTCTAATATTTAAGCTTTAGATAGGAAAATAAAAATTATGTTGTTCTTGTCACATTAATGGATAAAGTTTTATATTAATAATGATGTACCTATATGCGACGAAGCTTTGAGTGGCTTTGATACAAATGTGCTAAAATTAGCGTTCTATATTACAATTAGTTCTGTCACAATGAATGAGCTGGCTGCGTATCTATAGTCGCTTGACTGGCGATAATTAATTTGACACGCTAAAAGAGTAGTACAGTCATTTGGTGAGAAAATATAGTGGTTACCTGGAAAGTTTTCCGGGAGTCTTGAAAAATGGTAATGTTATAAATTTTGAGGTGCTATTTCCGAATTTCGAATTTGCCACCTCGTGTTTCTGCCGCTCGCGCCGCCAATTTGGAAAAATGGCGCCTAAAAGCAGTTTCTTGACAATATCTCCTTTCCGACTCATTTTAGGATAAAAGCAGTTATATACAAAATGAAACTAGAGACAATTGCCTACAATTAATGTATCTACCTTTTTTGTCATTAAGTCAATAGTTTCGGTTAGTCGGCGCTCGTACGCCAAAACTATTGACTTTATGAAAAAAATGATAAATACATAAATTGTCTCTAATTTCATTTTGCATATTACTGTTTTTATGGTAAAATGATCGGAAAGGAGATATTGCCAAAAAACTGCTTTTAGGCGCCATTTTTCAAATATTTTATGGCGGCGTGTGCGGCAAAAATACGAGGTGGCAATGACGAAATTCGGAAAGAGCACCTCAAAATCTATAAAATCACCAATTTTTAAACCAAATGACTGCACTAGAGGTTGTGCGAGAAGATATTTTTTTGTGCAGCTGATAGAGCGTTCTCAATTTAAAGCTTGAACGCAAAATTTAGCGCATTTTATTACCAAAGCTTCGTCACGTGGGAGTGAGATAAGCATTGGTCAGCAATAATAATTATATTTGTCATGCAATTGTTATTCACTCGATTGTTTATTTTTATAACCAAGTATAGCATGTAACACTAGAGGTCTTACATGCTTGTTGTCAGCTATGTTTACTGCGTGGATCTCTAGAAAACCGTACTGACCGGCTATGGTTGGGAGGTAGGGTTTAGTTTCCTCGGACGGGGTTGCCAAGGGCAAGAGATATCGACTTTATCCTACTTCACTTACTATTATTACTCTTCTTTGAATGTACACATAAAATCCGGATAATATCTTTACAGCAATATCCTGACGCGCTTATGTTACGACTAGCAAGCGCTTTAGCAAGATTCTTGAACAAAGACACCACCAGTCCGACAGCTTCCACTCCTGATAGCCCAGCTCCGAGGAAAACATCGCTAAAGTCCAAACCTTCGTGGAGAAGCGCCTCAGTCCACAATGACGGCAGAGCACATTACTCCAAATGCCATTTCACAGCAACACATGCTCTACTAGTAGCCACAAAAAAAGAAATAGCTGCATACAATTCTACAGAAGAAATCCGTAACAGAACTAAATCTATAGATAAAATAACTTATAACAAAGATGCTATAACAAGAACTGGCAGTGTCAATAGGAGAAGTTTCGCTTTCGCTTTAGATTCTTGTGGCAAGGAAGTGGAAAAGATTCCTGAAGGTGTTCAAGTAGAAGTGACTACAAACTCCCCAGATGTCTCTCAGCCTACATCTCCAGATTCTGAATGTATGAGGAGTTGTATGATGAGATCGCCGACTCGTAAAACGAGCTGTACGGTAGCACTCGATATTTATAGACGAAGAGGGTCGGGAATGGTAGAGAGACAGAGATTGAACAGCCTTCCCTTGATCAGCGAAGACAAGTTGAGCATCTTGAGGGAAAAGTTCAGTACACCGGAGAAGGTCATGCATTTCTTCGGACGATGCTTCGTGAAATTTTTCAGCAACTATGGGTAAATATATGTTTATAATTTTTTTGCCAAGTATTCAGTCCAATCAAAATTCGGATTGATTGGACTGAATACCACATCGGTTTCTAGTACAATGAAAACTTCACACGACAATTTATCAGCCTCGTGACCTCACACTCTAAACAGAAAATACGGGAAGGGTTATTTATCAAACAACAAAACCGAAACCACGTCAATAAGACTATTATTCAGCGGATCGGATGGCGTGAATTGGCGAGAAAATTGTTTCACGTTTCAGTCACTCTTATCTGCTCGGGGAGATGCTATACGTCTCGAATACACTACACTTTTTCGCAGAATCTATAAAACGTTTCCAGTAAAAGCCTTCACATTAATTGTATACCTATTGTATCTAATAAGTTTTTACTGTATGTTTTCATTGAAAGGACTTCATTCACAGCAGATTTATGATTGATTTTACGTTTTATTTAATTATCATAATTATAATTCTAGAATTACAAAGGTCTTTAATATTATTTAACTTTTAAAATAAGGTAAATTTTCATTCCACATTGCTCTAGCTGTTTAATATTAAGCGAAACCATTATGCTAACAATCTCATTCAAAGATCTTATTATTACTTAGTGGGAATTCAGAACACTGCTTAAGTAGGTAGTCTAAATTTTGATTGGAAAATGTTTAAGTTGTATCCAAATGCTTCTGATTTATGTAACCTCAAACGGAATCAGATTAAAAGAGAACACATTGCATGAATATATTCAAGACGCACAACTTTTATGACGATATCATAAATCCAGCATGTCGCAGACATCTGTGACCAAATACCTAATATCACTTTATGAGGATCAGCATACATACCTACCGTTACTACTACGTTGTAGGCATTATTAATGTTCCATTTGTCAGGTGTAATTTGGGTTTAATCAACCTAAAGATAAATTACGTACCTGACAATAATAAGAGGGAAGCGTGCCTACGGATTTAGATAATTGGTATTCTTTATACCTATAAAAATCGTATTAATTAAGCAAATTAATAATGAAATCTCTTGACGTAAATGTAATTGATCAAACATTTAATTGGTTTTTAGGGGTTTTACCTACACTCTTATTTGTTAGTTCTTTAATTGTTAGTTCAGTAATATGATGTCGATTTGTATAAAGTTTAATTAGTTTTCCCAAAAGTTATTATTTTATTATATTAGTATACAAACAACGGATCAATTGATGGCTACCTTTTAACTGACTCTAATTGAAAATAAAATAGAATATTATTTCAGAAAATACCTCTATCTACATTATCGTTCTATGGCAAAACTTTACAGATTGTATGGAATTGAAAGTTAGCGGCATATTAGTTTATATAATAAGTATTACTTTAAATAAAACAAGTTTCAACGGGTTAGATGCACTGATTTTATTTATTTATTGACGTTTCGCATCCTTTGCAGGATGACGACGACGCATTCCTGCAAAGGATGATAAATTAATAAAATCAGTACATCTAACCCGTTGAAACTTGTTTTATTTAATGAGTGATGTGCGTGAAAACATAAGAAACAAGTATTACTTTATATATAACTAGCTGACCCAGTGAACTTCGTACCGCCATAAAAATAGGGGCAGGTGGTAGAAGCGAAAATTTAGCGTTCCATGTATTTTTTAATACCACATTATAAAAAAAAAAATTGTAAAAAAGAAATTTACGGGTGTGTAATGTAGTGTTCTAGCAATTTCCTGGGATAACATTCCTCCTAACCCATTTGAGAACACTACGGTACAATACCCAATAGTTTGAATTTTGGCGCGAAGGCCCATTGTAGGTTTCAGAACACTACGTTACAGGTGTACAACCATTATCACTTAAGGATATGAAAAATAGATAAGTAGCCGATTCTCAGACCCACTGAATATGCATATAAAATTTCATAAAAATCGGTCAGGCCGTTTCGGAGGGGTATGGTAACTAACATTGTGACACGAGAATTTTATATATGTCTATATGATAATATAATAAGTTTTTTTGTATATTTTTGGTTAACGATACCGTTACGATACTGTTCGAATATAAATATGGCCTCTAGCCTACGACGCCATATATAATCTATATCTTTATTCTTGATTACCATGCTGTCTTGACTTCCTTGATGTTTTGTTAGTTCGTTCTTCAATTATGAGATCGTTTGGAAGGAAAACCCAAAAACTCCCAGAGGAAATCAAATCTCTAAAAGCTAGAAACATTTTCAGCTTCTTGGAAGCTGTCGGGCTAAAAGAGATGCTTTAACTCGGTGGCGAATCACAATAGATCTTATAGGTCGCAGTGACAACTGTTCCATTAGGACTGCATAGCCCCAAAAATCTAAAATAATCATAATACCCTTGATGCGGCAGATAGCGACAGTGACTAAACATCATCAGGTTAGCTTGTTTGCCTCCAAAAAACCCTTCTTTAATTTATTCAAATTAGAAAAAGTCGGTGAACTTTGACTTTTTCTATTTTGATTAACGCCTAATCTACTAAAGTTGGGATTCGCATCATCTGTCCACCACTCTTTCATATCTAAAAGAAGTCCTGAATTTCCTACCACCACGGTAGGAAATATTTTTGGACTCCATCCATTCAAAAGAGTTTTCATATATTTCCGAATGGAGTGTATCTTATTCTATGAATAAGTTAACATTTTTTAAATTGCCTCAAGGTACGACACAATGATCCGCGCGACCGGCCGCTACTTCTGCACGTTCCTGCAGTCGGTGGACAGCATCCACCAACGCATGCGTTTCACGTTCCCGCGCATGCGCTCCCCTTGTATGCAGCTTACGCGCGCGCACCGCCATGGCGCTGAGCTGGTGTACAGCAGCACGAGGACTGGATTCACACACTATCTGATGGGTGAGAGATGAACATGACCATCAGCCTATTAATGAACCCACTGCTGGGGTACAGACCTTCCCTATGGATGGAATAGGGAGATTGGGCCATGACCCACCACGTGGGCTCAGTGCGGATTGATGGGTGTTAACGACTTCAAATGCAGCCGGGACCCGCGGCTTAACGTGCCTTCCGAAGCACGGAATCGATCCATTCAATGACCGACCACTGCAAAAGGTGCTTAACTTCTCCGATTGCAGTTGAATGCGCTAACCACTAGCGTCATCGACCTCCTGATAGAGATGATATTTGTTTGGAATAAGAAGTAGCAATGATTAAAACAGAAATGGTTACGAAAAAGAACTGGTATTTCATTATTCTTTCACATTAGAAGCAGTTACATTTAAAGAAACCATTTCAATTATTATTTCTAATCCCAGGAGGTCAAATTAATACAATTCACTTTATTGTCACACAATAATAATAATATTCTTTATTGTACACAAAAAGGGATACATAAAACATAAACTTAAGAAACAAGAATGAGTAGTTATAAAGAAATATTGTACTAGAAAAAATTTCACGCGGTCCAAGGCAGGTAGAATATTTTACTTCTTGGAGAAGGATATATGTCTTTTTTGCTTAAATGTATATTTGCCTGCCTTTTTTGTTGCTAAATCTCCGCAGGGTAATCAGAAATCAATATACATCATTATTCAAATTGGATGTATAGTACAACTCTTTTGAATCGTCCAATCTTTTTCCCTACCTCTCGTTATGGACATATTTTTTAGCTGCGGAGAAAAACGAGCGAAAAAACTCCACAACATCAAAAGTCTAATGTAACAACATTTACAAATCATTATGATGTTACAACGTCAATACAATTATGATTTATTTAATATAGAAAACTTGTTGGAAAGATTGGAACAGTTCAAACCCAAGCGTTTTTGTCTGTAATATAATAACGGTAGAACGGTGATATCAAGGTAGGTGATAAGTGATATTTCCTAGTATAGAAGCTCCAATTTGATTTGCTTGTTTACCAAGCTCTAAATATTGACATACTCACTAATGTAAGGTAATGTAACTCTGTGTGAGAAATTATATAATTCATTCATTCAATTCGCGTAGGCGCGTGTAAATATTATACAAGTGACACGGTATTCTAAAACAATGTAATGACAACAGGTTTAAGCGAATTGAAGCGAGATTTTACATCTAATGCGACGTTAGAGAACATTAGAGACGAGAAGCATTTACTCTTTACAAAATCATAACTTCATTTCAACTTTATTTGCTTAATTAAAAGGTGTTTTCTTCCAATCTTTCTCACGAATAAAGGTCACGGGAAATTTCCGTGTTTTATTTCTGTTTTTACGCACGAAAGTTTGTTAACGCAGATTATTTTTTCAGGGCAACTTTATGAAATAGCGGAAGATATATTTTCCTTGAAGCTGAAGGTGTCGGTGCTAAAAGAAAGTATGGAAGGCAGTCACTATGTAGCTGTGTTACGACTGGAGTTCGACAATAGTGATTATGTGAGTTTTTTCTTCGTTTATTAAATCGAAATCTACATGAAACCTTGGTATTACCACCTCGTACTCCTTCTTTATTATAGGCAGAGGCTCACCAACGAATTTTGACAGCTCCCTAACGTCAAAATTTCTATAAAAATTAAGCAGCGCCCCTTTCGGACATAAAAACAAACTAACTGTCATAAATCGTGTTTGGGCCTCTGTTTTAATATATATTCACAGTTTTACACTAGTAATTTAAAGGCATAGGGTATGCCTTAGGCTTAGCTTCATTCTTGAAAATATTACATTCAAACTATATTTCCATATTTTAAGTAAAAATAAATTGCTTCATATTATTACGGTAAGAAGGCTCAAACAATTTGCATTTTTTAACGCTTTATACTCAAACGGTGACAACGAAATCTTATTCTTAAGCCTTCACTGTCCGTCCAACTGTCACCTTGAGATAAGTAGAGAGTTGAAATTTTCACAGAATGCTAAAGCTGCAAATACTAAAAATACAAATTACTACTTTCAAGAAACTTGACATTACCAATCGTATTATTTTAGATTATTATAATGGTACAGTACCCCTAGCACGAACCATTATTGAATTCGAATAGTTTGCAAACCGAAATGTTGTATGGAAACTTGAATAGCAGCGGCACAAAGTACGTAACAGAAACTAAAAATCAGTACACATTTGACAATGACATTTCGGACTAGCAAACGATACGAATTCGATATTGGTTCGTGCTAGGGGTACAGAACCCTTCGTGCTCTAGTCTAATTTTCAGTTGATTGATTTCTGTAATTATGAGGCAGCTGAACTTTTGGTTGAAGGAAAACATTCGAAATAATCGGAAATTACGCTTAGGTATATTTGTTTTAAAATCTCAACGGTTTTCTTATTTCCTTCCGTTTGTAGCAAGTCAACAGCATCGTTAATCATTCAGTTAATAAAACGGCCAATAACCCAGTCAATTAAGAGAACACGTGATCTACGCTGTTGAGAACGCAGCCCTAGACGTTCTCGTTGCATAGCAACACTTGTTTACTTCAGATATTATTTTTTCTCATTGTCTTTAGTTTTCGCTCTGTAAATATTTTTCTAAGTAAATTCTAACATTTAACTAGAGTTTTATCCTGTCGTCAACAAGTGGTCGAGTGTTGAGAACGCAGCCCTAGACGTTCTCGTTGCATAGCAACACTTGTTTACTTAAAATTTTATTTTATTCATTGTCTTTAGTTTTTCTCGACAGCTAAAAATGTACTTAACTGGTGGTAGGGAAAAAAATATGGACGATTTGAAAGAGTTGTATTTTGCTTCTAATTTGAATAAAGATATTTTGACTTTTGATATAATTTGATTTCTACCGTTTTAACGCGGCGGTATCTACATACTCATAGAAATCATACTAATCAACAGAAACAAAATAATATACTACGAGAAGGTGCTATTTTATTGTGGTCTTTTGTAATGTTATATCAAAATGTGATGCCCGCGTGTAACGCACACCCTGCACCATGGGTGAAGCCGCCTCTGTATGGCTTGACTCTCTTGAAATAAAAAATAGGATTGCCAGCAGTGAATTTTCTGCTCGAATGGAAGCTGTTTTAGAGAGAAACGGTTCTCTCTCAAATCGCATCAGGCGCCTCTTGAGATATTAACTCGATTACTTAACAGCCACAGTGTGCACCGAGAGTAATGGAGGGTCGGAGTGTCTCCCCTCCCGGAAAGTCTTGTTTTTTTTCTAATTGTGAATTGCTATCAGTACTTAAGGACTTTTATCAATTTTGTTGCATGCGGAATGACTTTAAGGGAGCAGAGGCCAGTGCCTCAGGTTCCTAGCTAAACAACATTGAAATGAAATAAAATGAAATGAAATGAAAAGTCATTTATTCAGTCTAGGCTGTTACAAGCACTTGTGAAGGTCAAGAAGCTACGCCATCGGTTCGCAAAACTACGGCGGGAGACCTTGTACTGAGAAGAACCGGCAAGAAACTCAGCAAGGGCTGTTTTTTTCTCCCTGTATTGTTATATACAGAGTCGTCAAGTAGAAAAATGACTTCAGAGATACGTCTGAAGTCACCTTCCATTCATCATCAATCATTTAGATTATAAATATATAGTTACAATAAATTTTATGGTTAACATTATATTTAGTATTTAAAAAAGCGGCATTAGATAGGTACAATATTACTGTTTTAAAAAATGACTAATACCTATTAAATAACAAATTATAAGAAACACTATGTCCATGCATTACGATCATTCAGATAATCATCAACTTTATAATAGCCCTTATTCATAAGAGTATTTTTGATCTGAGATTTAAGTCAGTGGAAGCTCAATCAGATCTAGGGGAACTTTATTAAACAATGCAATACTACAACCCAGAAATGAACCTGTTGATTTTTGGAGTCTGAAACATGGAACGGCAAGCTTGTTCTTAAATCTCGTGTTAAAGTTATGGGTTTGACTTTTTTGAAAATGCATCATAGTTTTTTCTTATCATTCTTCAATACCTACGTCTTCTGAGTCTGTTGATTGTATAAGACGTATTCGGTAATTCGGTGGCCAGTGGGTTTAGGTGTATGGTTAGTCGTTGGAAACCTCACTGATGAGGCACAAACCTTCTCTATGGATGGAATAGGGAGATTGAGAGGTTTTTAGTGTGTAGGCCTCAGAGCATTCAAACAGCTGATACTGTAGGATTCACGGGAAAGAGCCCCATATACCCATATAACCGCCGTAGCCCCGGCATCAAGCTGCAGGCGACGGGGTGTACGTCACGTTTTTTCCGCACGAACATAAAAAGGGAAAACACTCTCTTTTTATTTTCGTGCCTATCGAATATTGAAAATTTTCAAATAAAAATATCGAAAAGCTCTCGAAGTGTATAATGGGTTGGGGGACGGAGTTAGAGTTGGCAATGCGCGAGTGTGATTCGCTGGTGTCGTAAGCGTCTTTGGGTTATTTTTGGGTTATTGTAGCAGGCACTTTGCCATCAGTTAACCAAATGTTCTCATGCCATCGTTTACACATCAGTCTATTAACATCCCCACTGCAGGGGCACAGACCTTCCCTATAAATGGAATAGAGAGTTTGGGCTACGACCGACCACGAGGGCCCAGTGCGGATTGGTGGGTGCTAACGACTACAAATGCAGCCGAGACCAACGGCCTAACATGCCTTCCGAAGCACGGAAGAGCTCGAGTTAGTTAATTTTTGGTTAACCATCCAATGACTGACCACTGCGAAAGTTGCTTAACTTTAAAGGTTGCAGCCGAACGCCCTAACCACTAGCGCCATCGAGTTCATCCGATTATTATTCACATAAATATATGACAGCAATGCAGCAAATACATAGGATAAGAGTGCGAAGACCCAGTCTACACACGACACGCTATACCAGGTACAGGTACGTACCTGGGCGTTTTTCCCTGCCCCCCACGATAACGGCTAACTAGAGCCGAGGTCCGAGTCTCAGAGATGCGCCAGACGGAGAGGAGTCTCCCCCCGTGGGGAGATGCCATCCGCTTGGAATACCTCAAGAGGCGCTCGCCAATTCTCGGCTTGAGGTCCCCTTAGAATCTCGCCGTGCCCAAACCCGGTGACGCTGTAAAGGTCATCTGTGACCAACAGCATACACACTCAAAAAAAAACATAAAGTAAACACACTTTTCTGTTTTAGCTTAATTTTTTAATCAGCATGTTAAATCAGTCTCGAAGAACATTGTGATAGTTTCACATACTTACTATATTTTTAAAACCCTGTAGTTACAGGATAAGCTAGTTAGATTTGTAAATTCTATCAAAATCTATGTAAAATTTCAAGCCTTATCTGTGTTTTTAAGATAACTTTCAATAATTTTTATATAATTTTTGGCAATAAAGGCATTATTCGTGGTTCGCAATTTCAAATAAAATTTTCTAATAGCTTGAACTCAGTAAAATGAAAGTGGAAATTTTATTTATTTTATCAGAATGAATTTTCAATGTTTGCTCAAACCTTCAAACATATTCGAATACGTTATACCCGTATCCTAAGGCAAACAAAGAAGATCGATTAGATTAAACTGGGAGCTTGACTGTATTAAATTGTACATTTTCATACAGAGGATTTTTTCAAATTGTGATTGAAGAAATAAGTTTCTCAATGGACCTCGGATGCCTATTCTTATGATATTTTGGACTAAAATCGAACTTGATTAATATACCAAGTTAATAAACCCACATATTTTGAAGCTCCCATTTTCGCTGAAAGTGCGTCTCGCCCGTGATTGCCCAAGGCTTAGGGCCACGAGGCCGTATGAGCGCTCAAAAGACGCAGAATTTGAAGGGCTTTAAGAAAATGCGAAAAAATAATTTGGAAAAGTGAAAAACATTTTTGGACATCGTAATAAAACGACTTTTTTTACCGGAAAATCGTGTGTTTTCACAGAAAATTTCCGATATCTCGAGAAAGGGGGCGAATTACAAAAATATGGAAAAAAGCACCTCGGTATTGAACCAAGAAACATTTAGGTTATTACACTTTTTTCGATATTGGTAACGGTTCAGGCTGTAGAGGTGCCCGTAGCCGCGAGTTTGCGCGACGCGAGGTGCGATATTACGCGGCGCGAGGTGCGATATTACGCGGCGCAAGATTCGATATTACGCTTCGGCGGGCGTCTCGCGTGCGGCCACGAGGACGTGTGAGTGCTCAAAATACGCGGGCTTTAAGAAAACTTAAAATAATTGTTTTAAAAAATGAATTTATAATTTTATGTTTTTTTTTAACAATCTATAATAGTTATATTCATTTTCAATGCCCTTTCAAATCATGTAGAGCACAAGATCTGTGAATTTATTATTGTTTAACTTGATAATCCTACTAATATTATAAATGTGAAAGTTTTTATGTTTAGGTGTTTGTATGATGAAATTTGGTTTGAGACATAGGACACTTTTTATCCCAGAAAAGTCATGTCCCAAGAGGGCTTGCTTTGTTTGCTGTATTTCTAAATAAAAGGAA